AATGACTCAAAGCCCAAGTTCCCTAAGGATAAACACAGACCAGAAGCAGGCAGCTGGTAACAACAGATGCCTCATATCGAGCGGGGAGTCGTGTTAGGGTGTGTAACAAGGTCGATTCGCCACCTTTACAGCAGCAGCGGTGTCTTCAGACGATCTTTCCGGTCGTGTAGGCGGCAGTGAACGTTATTGGGTTTTGAATCGCCGCTTCTTCGGGCTAATTTCAGGATAAATTGAAACAGTAAGAACACGATGGCGTTTTGGTAGTATGCAAGCATACAGGGAACCTATCAATCAATTAATCAATTTGTCAATTCATCAATGACCAGTGAAATATAACGCAATCGCCGAAAAATGTACAAAGCGTGCCTAGTATAACACGCCAAAAAGCAGTTACTCAAGCAACTGGATATGATTTTGGAAACGGTCAGACGTTTCAGCTAGTATCCATTAGCTTTCGTCCCAGTCACTGACGAAAGCTAGTGGATACTAGCTGAAAAGTCTGACCGTTTCCAAAATCATATCCAGTTGCTTGAGTAATAGTTACTGCTTTTTGGCGTATTGTATTACCTGGATGCCTAACCTTCATCGACGTAGCTAGTATAAGAGAATACGTCCAATTTTTCAATAATGCTTTGCAAAATACCTAAGATTTGTGTTCCTTTTATCAATTACTCCAGTCTAATCCTGTTATGTCTGAGGAATCTCCTCCTTTAGTTGAATTATTCTTTATGACAGTCTTTGTCAATTACCATTACAACAAAATATTGTGAATATACGGGCACAATCTAAGCTTTCCATTTCAATTCAGTCCATATTTCTTTTTTATTTTTGCCCTCCCCTTTATGACAAAAAACAACATCAATTACCTGCCATGATGTTCACTTAGAAATAAAATTAGAATCCTACAAAAAAAGGACTACTTGTTTAATTGATCCATTACTCTCCAACGGTCCAATGTGACACCAAATGTTTGCCCCACCGCATTTCTGCTTGTGCTTGCGTGGGATTTAGGGCTATATATTAGGGTTAGGGCCTAGAGTTGGGGATGGTATTAGAGTTAGAGTTAGGGGCATTGTTTGGGCTAGGGTTAAACCTATAAGGATTTGGGTTAGGGGTGGTTTATAATTAGTGTCCACATGATGACCACCCACCCCCACCCCACCGCTTGTCTGAGGTATATTGAAAAACCCCAAGTAGTACCAGGAGCAGTTATTTGGCAGTGGCAGACATTTCACACCGACCCTTGCTATATATGCAAGTTTTAAGTCAGATACTGAGGACACGGCCGAGGACAGTTCCGTGTGGATGTTGTCAGTGCAGTTGGCAGTTGACTAACAGATGGGAGACAACTGTTTCCCGGGACATTCCAGATCCATGAGATACATACTTATACTGACATACCGCTAAAACTGCGCGTATCTACTGTACATTTTACATGTACATCTATTTTGGTAGCTCGACAATCAGGGCAAACTAATTATAACGAGTTTGGACCCAAATTTTGCGGTAAAAATACATTTGGTATGCCACCAGTGTGCATTGGTCAGGGTATGGTAATGCAGTTGTAATGAAGATCACAACATAAATGGGACGAAGCACTGAAGAGAAATATACACACAGGACCATAAAACAAAAAAAAATCATATGTCATATGATCTTACATTTACTGAGATTATTGAGTTACTTTTGGTTTTGCCCGGCACTACTTGCCCTAACAAATTTGCAACTGCACTTGTAGACTTTTCCATAACCGGTTCAGCTGCCTACAGAGACAGTACGATGGATCATGTCACATTCTTGCATAACACAAAAAGACGTACAAGTATCGGATAAGGGCAGTCCTCTTACGTACATGTGCCAGACCGCTTATAAGGTTTCAGAGACGACCTTGGTAAAGTACTGTACCTCTCACCCATCCATGTTTGCTATCTAGTAAATTATCTTGGTTTTTATGTTTCAATATATTACCAGGAATGTGGTTCCGACTTTACGGTCAAATAGTCCTATTGGTTGACGGCAAAAACAGTTTAAAGGTTTATAGCAACTAAAAATGTTCAAGGTATGTTCTAGGTATCAAGCAAGGCTGCCCCCTTAGCGCTCTCCTTTTTTTTATTTGTTGTTGAGATACTGTTTCATATTATACAATGTAACAAAAATGTAGAAGGAATTATGATAGATGAAAACGAAATTAAATTATGTCAAGTTGCGGATGATATTACATTATTCCTATCTAGTGAAGAATCACTGATTGAAGTGTTAAGATGTATTGATCACTTTCACATTGTCACAGGTCTCAAACTAAATAGATTAAAAACAAAAGGACTGTGGCTAGGCCCATGGAAAGATAGAAAGAAACAGTTGGAAGGGATTGAGTGGCCCTCAGAGCCTATTAAATCCTTAGGAGTTTACTTTGGACATTGTAAAGATACTCTTGTACAACTGAATTGGGATGAAAGAGTAAAACAATTGAAAATAGTACTCAATACTTGGAGAACAAGAAACCTAACCTTCTATGGTAAGATAGCTATTATTAAATCCTTGGCGGTAACAAAATTAACTTATGTCTTGAACATGTTACATGTGAACAACTCAACACTGAATGAGATTAATAAGGCCCTTTTTAACTTTCTATGGAATGGAAAACAGGACAGAATTAAGCGTAAGACAGTTATTGGAAACCTTGATCAAGGGGGTTTAAAAATGCTAGATATTTATTGTGTTAAGGAGGCTCTACTTGCTTCTTGGGTAAAACGCATATGCTATGGAAATGGCTCTTGGAGATACATTCCCTTAAAGTATCTATCTGCTTCTGGTAATGACGTAAATTTAGTATTCAAAATGAACAGTATTGATGAAAAACTCCTAGAAAAGTTCCCTATCTTTTATGAACAGGTTCTTTCTGCATGGTTCAAAGTAAATAACCAATGTACTGATTCCAACTTAGAGTATGGTATACAGAACCAGATGATCTGGGGTAATAAGTACATATTATCAAAAGGTAAACCACTTTTGTACCCGAACTGGATAAATTCAGGTTTTGTATATGTAAAAGACATTGTACAGAATGGAGTATTTATGAACGATAAAGCAGTCTTTCAAAAACTTAAAGTTAGAAGAAACTGGACATGTGAATTGCCCTCTGTCAAATATACTATACAAAAATGCTTGAAGGAAACAGAGGTAACAGTTAACACTGAAAGTACTGGATCTACCAATGTCCCCAACTTGTGTCTTATGAAAACTGCCAAGCTGTATCAATTCTTAATGCAACAAAAATTTGAAACACCTGGTGTACAGGATAAGTGGGAGGCTGAATTTAATTGTAAACCTGACTGGAAAAACATATGGAAAAATCAAACTTATTTTCCAATAGGAAAACACTTGATGCAATTGAATTATAAGCTGTTACATCGTATACTGCCATGTGGCCAGTTACTTTATGTTTGGAAAATAAAACCCAGTAATATCTGTAATCTATGTAACTGTATAGAAGATTATCAACATTTGTTTATTGCTTGTAGTAGGTTAAAATCTTTCTGGACAATAGTGAAGGATTATATATACAAGACTTTTTGCTGTAATGTTGTAATCGACTTCAAGGTTATAATATTAGGATATGAAACAGATCTGCCCAATCCCTCTGTGGAAATTAAGTACACAAACCTAGCTATCACTATCGCAAAATACGTTATATTTCGAAGTTGGCTGGAAAAGGACAAATATGATGGGATTGCAATAGCTAATATGTTTAAAACAGAATTCTCTTTGTATAAATAGGGTTGTCTGTTTTTTTTATATATAATGTACACGTATTGTTGTCCTTTTACAATGTTACAATGTACATGTAAATGTTGTGAATAAAGGATTAAAAAAAAAACACAAAAAAAAAAAAAAAAAAAACTAAAAATGTTCAAATGAGATTTTTTTTCTTCCCCTCTGGATTTTCAAAATTATTTGCTTTAATTTCTGGATACCATTAACTGGCGATGCAAATTAAGTCACAACACAGCCAGAAATATGAGCTTATTCATCCAGATATCGGTTAGCACGTGTAAAAATTCGCTTATCAAAAGCTGCAAAGAAAAAGCCTAAGTGTCATCCTTGTTACTAAGTAGCTTTCGTCCGCTCCCCAAGACCTTGGGAAGCAGACGAAAGCTAACAAGGCTGACACTCAGGCTACCAAAGAAATTAAACGCCGCCTCTGCAAGGCGTCCGCAGAGGAATAAGCTAAGCGGCAGTGGCAGTACCCTAGTATGGTCCCAAGAATGTGTGTTTACGTGTAAGACCCGAGAAGGGACGCGAAGGAATCTTCCTTGCCGTTCTGAGGTCATGACCCCGCCTGTGTCTTACCGCCAACACCAGGCAGCAGCTGACGTCATGCGTGACGTCATCACATAGCAACACGTTGCCCGGGAATGTGGTGTGTGGGAGAGTTGAGCCGGGGCCCTGCAGCTGAGGAGTCGGGTATTCCTCAGGGACAAAATCTTGGGAATAAAGCTATTGCCTCAGCCAAGAGGGCAGCGTTTTCGGGACTGTTCTTTGTTTATAGCCTCCGTAGCAGGCTTATAGAACTGGCGGTTTGGTGGTCTTCGGCTGTTTTCTGATTAGCCCAGTTCTACAAACGGGGGGTAATTCAACCAGGCCGGCTATGTTGTCTATATGCAATCAGAAAATAGCACATAAAAGCTCCCAAAGACCACGGAGACCCCCAAAACCCCCCAGTTTTTGGCATACTGTGGAGCGGAGGCTACTTTTTTATGGGTTTGGGTGAGCAGGGTGCTGGATGATTCAGGAATGCATTGACGGATTGCATCAAAATATTGTTGGAAACAGCAATGGCCGAAGAGTTGGATGTTGGGTCCCCTAGCGCCTGCGATTGGTACTGCAGGAGTTGGACTCCTCTGGTTGTGACCTAGATTTTATGACGGTTCTTTCTCACGTACTTCCTGAGCAATAAAAGGATATACAAACTCATTGATATTCTTGATATTCTCTTTTAGGCAGAGGCAGTGGTGGAAAAACCTTCATCTGATGAAGAACGGATACGAACAGCTGCAGGTAATGTGTGGTTCATTTTCTTTTGGCGACGCCCCAGTGGCAAGCCAAAAAGTAGACCATGTGCCCGTTTGAAAAGTTTGAGCTACTGCAGAGTTTTTTCTGTAATGTCACGGACATGTCATGCACAGTTAAGATCTGCGTGTTGTCACTTGATTTACGTTCGCAAAATACATTTTGCGAAGTTAATACGATTGTATGCTACCTTTCTCCAGACGATGCTTCGGAGGTTCCGCCAGAACCGGAAGTCACAATCGACATCCACAAGGAGCCTCCCATGCCGGAAAAGGCGATTCCGGACATCATTCCGGAACCGGAGAACATTCCGGAACCAGAAAGTATTCCGGAACCAGAGAATATTCCGGTGGACGTACACGTTAAGAATGAAGAAGAAACGCTAGAAACAGTGCCAAAGGAACCAAAGATACAGCAGGTCGTTGAACCGGAAGTAGAGGAGGTTGAACCGAAGGTAGAGGAAATTGAACCGGAAATAGTGGATGTTGAACCGGAAGTAGTGGAGGTCAAACCGGCAGTAGTGGAGGCCGAACCAGAAATAGCGGAGGTCGAACCGGAAGTAGAGGAGGTTGAACCGGAAGGAGAAGACGAAGGTGACGCAGCCGTCGCGGCCACCAAGATCCAGGCAGGGTTCAGAGGTGAAAGTGCCATTCCGTACCTGTCAAAACTCCTGAATAGCTAGTGCTTTGTCTACTGTGTACTAGTAATCACCCGACTACTGTTTGTACAATCATGTGTATATATTCTTGTTATTCAGTTTGGTTATGTTTGTAAATATTGGTGATATTTTGCACAATTGTGCGTGTTGCCTGAAACTACGTAATTCAGCCTTTTTTTTTACATTGTATCATTAGTCGCTAGATGTTACTTTGACGCTAGATGTTACTTGGTGCATAGTGCACTAAAGGTGTTACATGGTTCACAGTGCACAGTAAACCAGTCAGAATTGCCCTGACGAAGATGACAGACGGTTATCGAAACGTCGGCTCGTAAAAAATAAATGGTTGTGATCAAAGAACTTTGCTATTCATTCGTTGACCAACCTGATGAAATTATTTATATAGTCAATGATAGTCAATCTTTATTGCACAACAATTGTAACTGGTACAATGCATGGCAAACTTTTCAGTACTACATATCTAGCTAACATCTACTCTTACGTCTATAGTCTACTCTACCTACAAGTTCCATGTATCGAAAATAACATTATACTATTTCAAAAAGGTAATATAGAACATGTATATATACATATGGAGCATGGCTTACATGATAATGCACATGTCTTAAGTTCTATATATGACTGTACAAACTAGAGTGTACATCAGTTGGTTGAATCGGATATAATATGATTTCGTTTATCTAAAGCTTTGATATACTGGCCATACAGGTCACCAGAGCAGGAAGAGGGTGAAGAAGCTGAAGGAAGAGAAGGACGCAGCGACCAAGATCCAGGCGGGGTTTCGCGGGTGGAAGAGCAGGAAACAGGTCAGCGTCAAGAGGAGGGGCGCACCGGGTAAGTTCTTACATGCTTCCAAAATTCTGTCCCTTGCAACGCCTTAAGTTTCAGCCTTGTTGACCAGCTTAATTGCTTATTGTTAGTCCTTAACTATTTAATAAGAGCAGTTATTTCGAGGTATTTCAGTCAAAAGCTGCTTTTTCGTGAACTCACATTAACTGCTAAAAGTCCAGTCTCATTTTTAAGACTATTTCATCTATATAGAAAAGATGTTCAATATAATATTCTTAGTACAATAGTATCGTACTACCAAGTGTCGACGTCCCACATCAGAGGCTGCTACTGACGCTACATTTTCGTGTGTTTGTGCTTAAATGTATTTCAGGCGTAGAAGTGGAGGCAGACGATCACCTAACAGAAGAGCCACCAGCGGCAGTCACTGAGGAAGACACGTCACTGTCCATGCCTAGTGACGTCACAGAACAACACGTTGCCAAGGAAACGGCGAGCGCGATAGAACTTCCTCCTGCAATGTTCGCAGCCGACATGTCGCCTGTTGAGGAAACCGCGCCCGAGGTTCCATCTCCAGTAGTAGAGTCAACCCCAACAGAGTTGTTCGCCAAACAACCGGATGTTACACCTCCGGCTTCCCCGGAAGTGACGCAGCCGGAGATTGCCGAGACGCCGTCCCCGACGGAAGCCGAGTCGCCCGAGACCTCGTCACCCGAGGAGATCTCCCCGGCGCCGTTCTCTAAGCCGATTCCACCGACTCCGCCGCCAACTCCGGCCGACGTGGACCTGTTTGCCGGTGGTACCGAAGCAACCGAGCCCACCTCGGGTACAGACCCCGTTCTGGAAGGAGGAGAGATTGTCTTAGGAGACGTGGAACCGGCCATGGTCAAGGCTGTCGCGGAAAAGCTGGACGTGCTGGAGAAGGAAACTGTGGAGGCGAGTGAGAAAGTTCTGTACCAGCCCGGTACCGAGGTGTCGTTCGTGGTGGCGCCTCCTCCTCTACAGCCGGTCTCCATGGAAACCGTTGCTATGGAGGAGACGGATTCGTCACCGGATTCTGCTGAGCAGTCGCCAGTAACAGTCGTCGAAGCGAAGACGTTGATAAAACAGGAGAGCGAAGTTTACCCCTACGTCGAGGAGACACAGACCTCCGAAGAGTTCGATCCAGAGAGCCTCATCGCTCAGGCGGTTTCGTCCAAGTTCTCCTCATCCGCAGCAGCAGCACCGGAAGTCGTGGTGACGTCAGAGAGAACCGTCACCATGGAGACGGGTCCCGACGGGAAGACGACGCAGACCGTCGTCAAGGTGGAGCACACGGTCGTCAAGGAGATCACTACCGTGGTGACGCCCAAAACGACGGAGGTCGTCACCACCGAGGAAAGAACTGCGACGTCTGTGTCAAGTGACGACCGCAGCAGCGAGGAGCAGGTTACCGTCGTGGAGGCTTCTGACGACGACACTTTTGAAGAGTCCGGTTTAGAGCAGCAGCAAGGGGAGATGGGGATGATGATGAGAAGTAGCGGACCAAAGGACAAGGGAGCCCAGCTGGACCGGACCGGAGCGTCCTTCACGGACAAGTGGGAACCGGAGCCGGGTGAGAGTTAATGTGGAACCTGTCCCTGTCCTCGTTTGAACTTCTCCTGTGTTTAATGTAGCCCAAAACATATACCCCCGTCCTCCCCTTCAAGTGTCGTTTGAATTTTAAGAGCACACCATTCCGGAAAGACTCAGTCTGTTTTATTTTTGACTCAGCTTTTACTGTTGTACTGTTACTGTCAGCTAGCTTTTTACGTTGTTGTTGCTGTACCGTACAAATAATGTCGTTACCTACTTAAATGTGTTCCCTGGTCGACTAGAACTGACGGCAATGGCCACTGTTCGTCTTAGCGTATTTCATGAAATCAGTCCGCGTTTCAAGATAATCCTCTCTCGACTAATAGGGACAGATCTCTAGCGGAAGAAACGAGAGGTACTCAGCAGATGTGCTGTATATGTTGTAGCTATGCAGATCGTAATGTGTGTCGTGAAACAAATCGAAGGAAAAAAGCAAAAGGCAAAGTGCTGCTCTCTTATGGGTGCACAAAAGCTGCTGATTGAAGTTGAGGATTTTTATAAAAAGTGCCAGCGCAATCTTTATGGTGTCATGACGTCAAAGTCAATATATTGTTCAAGGTAATACACAAGACGACGGTGAAACTGGACCTTCTTACTTTGGGTGCCAAGAAAGAAAATGAGTGTCATATTCCAGATATTCTCAACTTAAGTCGTCGGTTTGCCTAGTACATAGAAGTATAGTTTAGTGTTATTGTCTGTCGAGTGACCTTGTTAATATACGTGTAAGCCATGTGGGAGATCCGGTGTTCACAAAACGTTTATGTATTCATTATGAGGATTTTGTCTTGTACATTTTTCACAATTATTTTCATGCAATCTTATACAATGTATATCTTTACTTCTACATTTCATATTTTATTGCACATTCATTAGCCTTTATTGTCATTAAAATTACCACAGGTAAAAACAGTAATATTTAGTAACTGTAGTCTATGTGGTACGCATATATAGGACATTGATATTATATATACAGATTATTCAGAGAGGACTTTAACACAAACAATGGGATTTATGTTCTAATACTGTACAGTGTTTTACGTCGTACTTGTGTAACAACCAACAACCAGTCCTTTTTAGAAGTCGATGTTTGCTGATGAAATGATATGACAATCTTGCGACTAAACTATTGTTCATGACAGGGCTTGAACTTTACAGGAGGTTTGGACAGTTGATTCTTAGTTACGGTTGGTCAACAATGCTGGAGAAACGGGGTTCAACCAAGATCTTCCTTAGGAATTGTGGATGGTAGAAAAATATCAAAGCCATGCCCAAACGTGCTTACTATGAAACGTAAGTGGCAGTACTTGTGGATTCAAATCCCATGAAAAAAAATCCCAAAATATTTTACCAGCAAATTTCAAGTCCTGTCAGCTGCTGTAGCATGTACAGTGTAGTAGTAGTCTTTGTCTTACGCTGTTTTATAATGGGCCAGTTGAGGGTCTTTATTAATTACGCACACGTCAAATGCTTACGTCATGTGATTGTCTTGTATGTATCATGCAAATATTACCACGTGATTATAGCTCGATGCTGTCACCCGACAGCCGATGGCGACTGCATGACTGCAAAAAAGACCCTTAGCTAGCATTTTTTTCTTTTGTACCGTGCATCGTTGTTGGAAGATAGTATATAATATTTACTAAAACAATGGAATTGTATCCATGCATATTATAGAGGTAGACCTAGTGATAACGTACCTTGCCTTGGCTGGCATGCTATGCATTCTGCTGATGATACGTACATGTACCCAGACTTCGTGCCTGCTTATATGAAGATGAGATGACAAATGTATTTACTTGCTAGAGAAATATGAGTATGACCGAAGAAGCTAGCTAGAAACCATTGCTGAACCCATCTTGGAAAGTTGGGTTAGAATGAATGGAGGTGTCCCCAATGTTGCTAGTGTCTGTCCAACGGTGCTTTGAGCATGTAAAAATTGGGAAAAAAAAGTTTTCGACATCACGGCCCTAAAAAAACGGCATGCATTTCATAACGTTATACCAATGGCATAGAGACCAATGGTAACGTAATATCCGCCAGCCATAGAACATGGACAATGGACAACTGGGGACATCCCTCCATACGTGTGTTGAACTTGAACAGAATGCTCCAAGCTTGTGACAAGGGAGTGATATGTACTGTTGAGATGCCTGAACTCATAACATATGATTGTACACCCCGACCCGCATGCGTACCTAGCTAGGGAATAATAGCATGGGGTTCATCTGTGTTGCTGAATAACATTGAAGATGTTGAGATTTTTTTCAAGTCAAAGAGTTGACTCGCTGAGTTTTCGACCAACCTTCATTGAACCGAGACGGTGGGTGTTACAGACTTACACCGACCTTTCACCCATTGCTGACGTCAGAGAAATGTATGATCACGTGTCCGGGGCGATTGGGTCAGCGACCTTGACGAAGGCCAGAAAGTTGGTCGAATTTTCTGCGATTCAACTTTTTTTGTGGAAAAAAGTTCAACATTTTCCATGGATGGGGGATATTGCTTCTGGATGAACGCTTGCATTGAGCTGTAGGGCCGACCGATGAATAAAGGAAAATTGGGGCTGAAAATTTTGTGTCTGTCCGTTATTCCGTGTGTTGTGAGTGTGTCTTTAGATTTTGTATTAAGAGTGATGTGTGTCCACGTGTTTCTCACAAGTAGATATTTAATGTTCTAGATTAACGTAAAAATATCTAACGATAGACATACATCGCAAAGATCTAAGGATAGGCATACACATAGCATATGAGAGAATAGTGGGTTTGTACTTGACGTAACAGCTGGTTGACTCATGTCACGCGAGTGCTAACACCTATTAGCCTCTGCTACATAATGTCTGGCCACCAGGGCTCACCGTAGTACATGGTAGGACCGCTAGGAGCGCGATTTAATCTAATTACAGAGAACACGGCAGATCATGAGAGGCAAACTAGAAGGGTAACATTAACAAAGCAAATGCATAATGTTTACCTTCACATGGTCTAGCCTAACAAACTACTGCTAGGTTTACTCAAACACTTTCATATACTGAACGTTATATGGTGATCAGCCCTCCAGCTCTTTCCTGCTAAATGGCGTAAATAATGTAACCCAAAACCACAGGGTGTCTGCTACAGCACCAGTTTATACGACAGACGTCTGGTCCAGGTTTAATGCAAATTGATGTGTTTGGAGAAGAGGTAGAAGAAGAAACAGAGAAAAAACAATATGTTTCCCTCCTGCGAAGATAAACCTAATACGCCATCAATTGCGTCATCAATCCGACCCCTATAAATTAACCTTCACAAGATTTAATGCCTACGAGATGCAAACACTCTGACGTTAAAAGACCCAGACGCTAAAACTCGCCAGGAATCGGCCCAGTGGCACGGACGTTTCACCGTGATCCCGGCCTTGCCGCCAGAACCGAATACCCGGCGCCTCTTATGGGCCCCGGCGGCCATGTTTGGGTACGTCAAGTTCGTGGGAACTCGGCGACGAAGGTCAAGGGGCGCATTGCACTTGACTTTCAAGGACCGGGACAAATAAGGGACGCGACCCGAGAGGGATCGGGGGGGATGGGGGGTACGTGTGGTTCTAAATGTTGAGGAAAAGTCTTATGACAAGACAAATTTCTCTTTAGAATATGATTATGATGATGATAATATTACTAATCTTGAGCTGTGGTGTCTGTGTGAAAATGAAAGAAAAGTGCAATAAATAGCCAGACAAAAGAAAAAAAAAACAATTTCAAAACAATTTTGCACAAAAAATGTTCATAAAAATCTTTCTTTTCAACACCTTCTTTCTTTTCCCAAGACGACTTCAGTAACCAAACTTAATTTATATTTTTAAGACCGAGTCAATGAGATTGCTTCATTTTCTAGATATACTTACTCATCAAACTTACGCAAACGTTTCTCATATTGTCAGACATAATGCCTTTAGAGCATATTGTCACCCCTTTTAGGCATTGATCTTAAGAAATGTCTTCGGTGCAATTTCCTTAGCCCTTAGGCAACGTTGGACGCTGTCCGACGTGGTTACACCTTGCCACATAGCGACTTTAAGAGAAAATGCACCTTGTTACGTCGCGCGTCCTTCCAAGGAATTCTCAAGGAAGAGTCAAATATTTCAAATAGCAATAGGTGTCTCAGTCACTGATGTGTGTCTTGTCGTTTTTCAAGCCATACTTTTGCATCATGGATCATGTCCAATCTATAAAGGTCATACTAAATTAATGTTTCTTGTTGCTCAAAGGTCGCTGAATAGTATCCTCTCTAGGGGTATAAAAATAGGCGATAAAAATCTGCCAGCTGCGCAGTATCGTACGTACTTAGTAAGACAGGAAGACGTCATACTTTACGTCACTGCCTGTTGCAGCTTCCCCCAGCTGTCCATATTTGCTGATGAGACCGGCCCCGTGGAGGGTTAGATAGCACAGCGGGACTCTCCCTGTGCGCACATGTAAGCTAGGGCCCCTTTCCATAATCTGCAGGCATATCTTTCGGTGGCAAGGTCGTAACAACCAACCGGCAAGACTGCAACCAAAAGTCAAAACAGTATCCAATGGGCAAGACAGTATCCAATGGAGATGGCGAGTCAGTATACGATACTGCTTTGTCGGTTGCACAAGAAAATTGTTACTCATACAACTGGATAGAATTTAAAAACTGTCAGACGTTTCAAGTAGCATTCAATGCTTTTATTTAGTAACTGGCGTTACTTGAAATTTCTGACAGCTTTCGAAATCTATCCAGTTGCTTGAGTAACTGTTTCCTCGTGTATCTCATTACCTGGATCATGTCTGACCTTCATCGACGTGTTTGGTCGGTTGTTTAGGACTTTGGCACCAAAGGATCTGCTTGGATAGATGACCCTTCCTATTCCAATAGACGACAATCGTTAATGCATCAACACTGGGTTTGTTTGATCTCTGATTTCGGTACCAGGACAGAAAGTGAAAAATTAGCTCTTAATGAATGAAACTAGTAAAACGAG